GAGTGTGTTATACTGTGTCGGTTTGTGTCTCCTAAAAGGAAAGCAGCCTATGTTTAGAGTTGGTGAAAAAGTGAAAAACTTCTGAAAATTTATTGACTAAATAATAATTTAATGACTAAAATAAATAATTAATTAATAATTAATTAATAATTGCCTGTGTCTATTAAGGCCCGTTTACAATACACGGAGTAAGAAGTAAGAGTAAGAAATTGATCAATCACAGTCGATTATTCTTCTCACATTCGACTGTGATTGGTCAATTTCTTACTCTTACTTCTTACTCCGTGTATTGTAGACTTAATAGACACAGGCAATAGGCACAGGCAACAGGAAATAACGAGCCGTCCAATCAGAGCTTTGGGGTATAAATTCGATATTATATCCCAGAGCTCTTATTGGACGGCTCATTATTCCCTGTTGCCTGTGCCTATTGCCTGTGTCTATTGTGTTTCCAGCTTAACCTATCATAACCGCTGACTATAGGCGTTCAAAGATGGTGGTCTGCTCTGTCAGAATTTTTGCGCGTTCCGAAAACCATCGAATTAACCCTTTGCGGCATACATTTTTCTATAAGATTAATTTAAAGGACAAATGTACTTCTGGGGGTTTTTGGGGTCGCTGATTACGAATTTGAAATCAGTTTTCAAAAATCCAAAATGGCGGATCCAATATGGAGGACGAGTTTTTAAAAATTCACTTCAAACTTGCTACTGCGACCTTTGAATGTTATCATTCATCGTCACTTTGTTATCTCTTTAGCTTCTACGATTTCCACGAAAAAAAAAAATCTTTCTACGATTGGATCCGCCATTTTGAATTTTTGAAAACTGACTTCAAATTCGTAATCAGCGACCCCAAAAACCCCCGAGGACGAAATTTGGTTTTAAATTACTCAAAAATTCGCACAAAAATGAATTTTTTGCTAAAAAAGTTCGATTTTGGAAACTTATTTGTTTATAATTGTTTATAATTTTACGTAATTGCATTTATATATACGTAATTGCATTTATTTACGTAATTGCATTTATATTATAATCATTTTTGTCACCTTCCCAAATGCTTCCTCTATCATTGAAAAAAGATTCATGGATGTTACTTCAAAAACATTGAATCTAGAGAGAAAAGTTGTGAATGAAAAAGGTGGGAATCTGGGTTCCCACTATGCCGCAAAGGGTTAAAAAGTGTTGCAATCTTTTATTGACTGACTATACCTCAGTCGAAAACGCTATAAGTAAATTATTAAATTTTTTGATAAGTTTTGGAACGCAATATGATAAAAGCTAGCCCTCTGCCCTCTGCCCGAATAATCGTGAACTGCAGAGCTGACTCGTGGCCGTGCCGGATCCGC